GTATCTCATATCTGACATTCTTGTCTCATCTCTTGTATTCTCGTGTATCTCATATCTGACATTCTTGTCTCATCTCTTGTATTCTCGTGTATCTCATATCTGACATTCTTGTCTCATCTCTTGTATTCTCGTGTAACTCATATCTGACATTCTCGTCTTATCTCTTGTATTCTCGTGTATCTCATATCTGACATTCTCGTCTCATCTCTTGTATTCTCGTGTATCTCATATCTGACATTTTCGTCTTATCTCTTGTATTCTCTGCTTACATTCTTGTATTCTCGTGTGTCTCCGGCCTCTCCCCTCCCAGGTTCGCCTGTCGGGCAACGGCATCTACGACAACGGACAACACGGCGTGGTGTGTCGTAACTCGTGCACCCTGGAGGAGAACGACATCGTCGGCCAATCGATGTACGCCGTGGTGGTGGAGGCCAACTCTGTGACTCAGGTGGGTGTGTTCATCTCTTGGGAGACTGTCCAAACCACAGAATTCTATTACTATAAGACTGCCAACACCACACCACCCTTACCGCTCCTACCAGTCTAATGTGGGCGTTCAAATTTTACGCCTGGAAGGGGGGAGGAGGGGGGAGTGGGTCTTGAACCAATGTAATATTACACTTTTTTTTCGGTCCCGAGGTGTTGACTTTATCAGAATTCCACTGTGATTTTATTTGTAGTTAAGACACTTTTGACATTGACATGAGTCTCAATTTTTTTCCTTATCAGTAAGCAAGAGTGTATACAACATTTTGCTTGAATGATTTACTCTGTTATTTTTTGTGAAAATAGAACTGCATGTATCATAATCTGCCTGTATGTGTGTGTGCATGCTTTTCATGAATATTATGTAAAACACATAGAACAATGACTGTAACCCCCGGGGCAGTGCTACTGACTGAAGTGTCTTTAGGCCATTCCCAAAGGGGGGACATTAACATGTTCTTATGCACAGTAGAATTGTAAATGGGCTGATCCAACAATGTCTTGCTCATACTGTGCCGGAACTGCAACAGGGAACTGACTGCTGCTTTTTCTTTC